TGAGAAACGTCATAGCATAAGCGTAGACGAGGGGTCTAATTCCATGGCTATAATAAATTTATAAATTAAAAAAACACAACTGGGACGTTTTAAAATGCTGTAATAATTAAAATGGATCAAAGTGCCGGTTATAGCAAACCGTAAAAAAATATTAGATGTTATGTTTTATTATCTTTGTCAATATTTTCTATATTTTGTTGCCTTTACGCAAACACGCCAATGGATTTTTGTTCCCGGCACGCTTCATCCCCCTTACTAGTCCAAAAGCTAGCGATGAGTCACTCTCTATAATTTCTACCACGGAGTATAGAGACTATCTATGACTGACGACAGAACAAAAGGCAATTAAAAGTTACAGTACTTTTTAAATTTCAAGTATCTGTATTCTAGTCTATTATAAATCCTAATTATCGTTACTGAGGTGCTTATTAAATATTCCTTGAAGCGTAATTTAACTGAATTAAAAAAGGTTGTGTACATTTATTTTGTATGCTACGGTGTAAAAATGTGTTAATAATCTGATTTCAAATGTATTAAAAGTGCTGTAGTTTCCTACATATGAAAATTCAAGCCTGAACTTAATTTTCTTTAAATCTAACAATAACTACATGACCATTGACATATTCATTATCCCTTTTATTTTACAAAATCGCCAGTTAGTATAATATATGATTTTTTTGTATTAAGGACGATATACTCACGCATCTTAGACCTAGGAGGAGTATTCTGATATTTTAAATTTGCCTTTCCTTTTTAAAAATATGTACTTCCTCTATAATTTAGTTTTTTTTTTCTATTTATTAGCTATCGTGAAAAAGCAACTGATTTTATATACCAATAAATGTCTCTTTTTCTTGTTTTATTATTTCATGAAAATGTGACAATAAAGCATTTCGAAAACTGTAATCTTTGATGTTTTCTTTTACTCATGATTTCGGAATCATACGTTACGATCCGAAATCTAGCGATCTGATTGGTTTCCATCGGATCGTAACACGTTATAATTCCGAAATCATGAGTAAAAGAAAAGGGCTCTTATTAATCCTATTATTAAGATCAGTGATCTTGTCGTTTGAAAGCAAATCGGTTAAAGTTAAAAATCTTTCGGAAAGAAATCGAATTGGTTAGATTTTAATCATATGTTCTAATCCTTTCTGGATGAAAATAAATCTGCCGTTTTATCCAACTCTAAAATTTAGACAGTTCATCCAGTGTTCACAGTGAGCGATTAGCATGATAAACAATGATATTTTTTTTTAATAAAAGTTATAAAACTGCTTCCTTTGTTGTGTGTTGGATCATAAATTATTCCACTAAAAGAACCCCTCACAAAACATATGGAAATTGCACACCGATCAATTTTTATGAAACTTTGTATTTTGATAGTTCTCGTCATGCTGATCAAAAGTCTCAATGGGCACGAAGCTCTACAACCCTTTCCAACCCCCCAAAACCACCCCCAAAGATAAGGGTAATGCATGAACTTGACAGATTACGGGTCAATTGGCTTACCGTAATATTTCACCACTGTACTGTACAGACACCTATACCATAACTAGGTTTAAGACCGAGGCCTACAACCCCCACCAACCCCCCAAAACCACCCCCAAAGGTCAGGGGGACGCACACTTAACAGATTATCGGTCAATAAAACTACCGAAATATTTTACTACTGCACAGCCAGGGTTTCACATCCCACAAACAGCAAAAAACCTTATGGCAGGTTTTGATACTTTTTGTGGGTTAAAGGGTATTAAACAATAAGATGGGTGTAGGATGGAATTCAATACTGAACGGTTTATTCTTAAGCCGTAAGCAGGGAAAAGTCATATCAGGTTTCAATAAGAACTAGGGTTGGCCCGAAATTCACGATTAAACAGTTACACAACCAGTATGCAGCGAAAAATCACATGACAGGCTTTGGTAGTTGATGGGGAGAGGGATGGGGGGTTAAGTTTTTTGGAGATAGTAGTCTTAAGCCTAGTTTGGGTGGTTGTAGGTTCGACTGCAATAGTAAAATATTTCAGTAGTTTTATTTACAATAATCTGTCAAGTGCATCCCCCTGACCTTTGGGGGTGGTTTTGAGGGGTTGGATGGGGTTGTAAGGCTTCGTGCCCATTGAAACTTTTGATCAGCATGACGAGGACTATCAAAATACGAAGTTTCATAAAAATTGACCGGTGTTCAATTTACATATGTTTTGTGCGGGGTTCTTTATGTTAGATTTCGTCAGACGGTTTGTCCTTGTTCCGTTTTTTTTTAAATCGGGAAACAGCTGTTACTTATCCGTCTATCACAGTCCATGCATCCACATCCATCAGATCACACTTTCCGGAAACCCTTAATGAAGAAATACAATGCTCATACAAACCACAATAAGTTGTATCACAACCGAAGCTAGCTGTAAAGAGCTTTGTAAAAAGTCGAAAACCATGATGTTTTTCATAGAGTGGTTGTAGTCCTGTAAATAACTGAAAATAAAGATATCCTTTACATTATATAGGGTGATTCAGTCATAATGTCATTAATTTTAAGGGAAGATAGGTAAAAATTAGTAGAATACGAATAAGCTATCAAAAAAAATTAAAATGCATACTTATTTACTCTCAACAAAAATATTTTCAAATCATTTAGACGCTCCTGACTGCTGACCTACGAGTGTTTATCGAGAGTGAATCTTGACCCATCATAACGGTCGGTCATTAACCTAGTTTTTAATGAGTTTTTAATCTGTAGTGAACTACAACAAACAGAGCTTTTTAGCTAGACACACGTATGAAAAAGATATTTTTCTTCAAGCGTATAATAATACTTATATTATATAGTGCAACACCTCCTTTAGAAGCAGCCTATTGTTTAACTAGTACAAATATTTATAATTTTTCAACTAGTAAAAAAATGTAACAATGTGTAGGTAAGTATCCTAGCAACGAATTAAAGATTCAAGAAGCTTTGACGTTTCATTAAGTGTCAGTTGAAATTTGATGTCGCGTCGGGTCGTTTTTAANATTTATTTGTTAATAAAATCAAATATTGTTTTCGAATGTATACAATGTATACAATTTAGTATTTTTAATATTGTTAACGTTTTCACTATGTTTTATAATTGAATATGAGTTTTTAGTATTTCGTTCAATTAATTATTCAGTTTGTAGAACGTATACCTTATTGTGTGACTTATTGCTTTTCAAAGAGTAGTATGATACCTATCTATTCAAAATGACATTACAAAAAAATACACTCATTCATCCGCCCATAAAGTCTTTATAAAGTTGGGATCCGCCGCATTTTGATTTTGAAACTTAAAGACTGGGGAAATCAGCTGTTTCGCTTCAACGTTCAAACGCTTTGTACTTCGCCGATCGGCGTGTTTCATACTGCGAAATAGGGCGCCGAATTAATAGGAGCTAAGGGATAATTTGCTTATTTTATAAAAGGTCCAGAAAAAATGTTTTTTTTTCGATTTTTCTATATACATATATGGTACTTGGTCTTAATGACATTAGGACTGAATCATCCTTAGAAAATTCATTTTTTGCCTATTCTTTATTATTTGGAATATAGTATTTATAAGGATCTTATTTAAACAGAATATCCTTTAGTACCTGATAATTTCTTTATGTTTTATAATACACTCCCTCAAGGTGAGGAAGCTAGCCTGGTCTCTGTCACACTGATTCTGCTCCATAACTTTCCCTACATATTCTGAAAAATTGGTTAAAACATGAAGCAAGATCCTAATCTGTCCCAATGGGAATATGATCATGCTGAAGCTGAAAGCGTCGGCAACAGTTACGTATGAAGCCCCAATCAATCCGTTGAACATGTGCCATAAATAGCTTATTAGATAATGCTTTTGGGGGTCGTAGGGTAACCATGACGACATCGGTAGAGCTTTGATGATCGTGGTCTCATTGGTGACGTTGTTGAACTTTACTACGTCATCGAGGGACAGTGGATGGGTAAAGTAGAACACTGCCTCTGAAATAAGATAATATTTTAATTGATGCTGTCTCATGCTGTCTCATTGGAGGATCTTATTGGTATGTGGCAGGATTTTTATATTTCTTGTGTGTCGGCTTGCCAAACGTAACGTGACAGTTGAAATTGCTTCGTCCAAAGTTGAGTCGCAAATGGTTTTCTGTTGTGTGGTTAGAGTGTTCACCCGCCACGTTATTTTTACTATACTTTAAACAAAGGTCAGCAGTGCAAGATAGCTCATTTGTATTTTATATATTTAAAAGAAATTAACGGAATTTTAAAAATTTTCGAAAAATTCTCATTAAATGAAGTTCATACAGAAGGTGCTTTTCAAAGTAAGCAGGACTTTTCAAAAATAAGAAAAGAAAAAGTTTTTTTGGCGAAACCGATTTGTTTTATCCAAAATAGTCCCCTTCCCGCTTTATACAGTGATTTGCATGATCTGAAAGCATCCCTAATGAGTGTTTTAAATCCTCGGCTAAGATGTCCTTCAAGATGTCGGTACAAGCTTTTTGGATGGCTTCTGTACCGTATCAGGCGAATACGGAGAGCGGTTGAACACTAAAATGACATCACGCGATTAGCGAGACACTGCAGCAAACGCCGGTTTAAAATATTTATTTAACACTAAACTTTAATAGTCCAAAAGGTTTCTAATATTTTCAGTACATATGATGAGATGATATAAGATGTTATAGATTATTTTTAAACAATAGGTTTAAATAAAAAAAATAAATAGGCCTTACTTACGTACAGCGATGCCGACGATGAACAAGAGATTAGTGAATTGACTCTGCTGGGCATGAAACTTATATATCTTCAAAACTTCCTCATCTTTGCCCCCCAGAATAGCCTCTTCCGCAGCCAAGATTTTTTTAATTAGTTTTTTCATTTTGGTACTTCTTATAACCAACACCCTCCTAACTGTGATGGGGTACAGCAGGGTAATGGAAAGGTTGGCCCCTATTTCTTCAACTTTAAGTTCGTCATCAGTTATTAGGATGTAGAGTTGGATCAAAGCAGTTAACAGAAAGAACAAGAAGTATGATAACATGAATTTCGAGTATATGTTGTACAGTTTGCGTAGCTTTGGGTTGCCTTGAAATATGTACGGCCAGACACCAAGTACGGAATTGGCGTACATGGTAATCTTGAGGTGGTCATTTATCGGAAAAATCTAGAGAAAAGAAAAAATTGTTCAATTTAATTATGAATTTGCTCGAAATAATTGATGCAATGCCATCCATCTGAAAATATTCATATGTGAAATGTTTGTGTTCGTTGATTTTTGAGAAATTTGATTTTGCATATCGTTTTACCTAAAAAAACTGTACCAAACACCGTACCTATTAAAGCAATTATCTGTGATCTTCTTAAGAACATGCAATATCGCTGTTTCTCAAAAACGTCGGAGAAAAAAGTTTAATCCAAGTCTTAATTCAGATTAATGTTACCCAAATAACATATTCATCTCATGACGTCTTTTTTATGTCCACATTTTGTACAAATATTTGAAGACTTATAAATGATGTCTGTCACCAATATTAATGATTCGTTTACAATGAACAATAACAAACCATAACGTCTACACTCGAGATAATGCGATCGCTGATTGGCTGAATAGAAACTCGTAATTGTCAACGTGAAGGAAATAAAGTCACTGTTCCAAACAAAATTGCTGGTGACTTGGCTTTGCATTTTTTATAATAGAACAGATGAGTGCGGTCTAGTGACTTCATGTCAACGCTGATCGCGGTTAGTACTTGGATGATGGGTGATCATCCAGGGAAAGCATGCGATGCTCGTCCATCTTCTGGTGCTCTGTATGTCTTTATATTCACAAAAGCTATACTTTAGGCGAAGTGTAAGAAGATATACCATCCCTCGGAAAGGATGTAACCGTTGGTCCCTTGTCGGCAAAATTTCCAGGGGGTTGCTCGTCTTATGGCACGGTGCAGCCATAGTAGCAGTTATAGACCGACGTAAAATAACCAGAACTGAAGTTAATAGACCAGATACCTACCTACAATTCGTGTAGGTGCAAGAATTTTTTTTTTTTTTGGGGGAAAACTCATTTATTTAAAAAGGTAGCAGAAACCTACTTGATATACTTGTTTCATACAATTTTTTCACTCAATGATAAAATTGGAAATTGTGGCACCTCTCAACTTCCATTGCATATAGCAAATAACTTTTAATTCTTATTAACAAAATTTGTTAAGAATAACTCAAAAAGACTTTATTCAAAATGTTTAATTTAATCTAAATGTTTTCAGGTACTTACCATTTTCGAAATTCAAAGACAAGGTGTTACGATACTTATTCGGCGGGTTGTGTTCATCTAAATACAAAATTGAAAAGGAATGCCAGGGGTATCAATATTTGAATATTATTAAAGCTACAAAGTACTAATTATAGTCTAAATCATGTAGCAAACCTTATTTAATTATAATAATTGTTGTTGCTTGCTCCTTAGAAGTTTTTGAATCAGTTATTGATCGCGTGAAGAATATGATTCTATTTAATTATTCATGTTTTAAATTATACAAATTAGAATATATAAAATACAGACCAAAAGATGTATTTTACTTTCTTTACAATAAGCCTTTCTAGTTATTAGTGGAGAGACATTATATATATTGGCACTGATAGTTTGGTTCTTTTTTGCTTTGAACTTCAGCATTTTGAACTGTTATGAAGACTGAAGAGCCTTAATCAATAATGTCTTTTATAAATATTGATAAATATATTATAAATTAAAGACATCCACATGTCCTAACTCTAAAATTATTCGCAATACTCTATCCCTTAGATAGGTACTTTATTATCAGTCTGGTTCATCAAACATTCAAGTGTCAAATGTATGCGCAATTAATTTAATAAAGTAACACATTTTTTGTTGCCTCTTATAAACAAAAAGTTTATAAATTTAATGGCTTTCTAGTGGACTGATAATTTTTAAGAAATTTAAATATACGACCAAATTTTTTTGGCTCCAAAGACAAGGGGGCCCACGAAAAATTGTCTTAGGGGGTTCCCCGCCAAAAAACGTAGCACCATCAGATTCCACATGTCATAAAACCCCTGAGTAGCAAATTTAGTAATTCTCGTACAACAGGGTTCTGAGATATAAAAAAAAATTATTCTTAGGGGCGAACTTCAGGGGACTGTAACTCCGAAAGAGGAGGCCAATTGGCAAAAATAAAAAATACGGGTCCCCTAAATTTGTCCTAAGAATCTGTGACCAAATTTTGTTGCATAAATTTCGGGACACCCTGTATATACATACAAGGCCGATAAAAATAAATATCAAGTTTTTAGTATTTTTTCAAAGGATTAAAAATGCAATCAATGCAATAATAAAGGGTGTCCCAAAAAAATTTCATGAGGATAAAATATTTCATTAATTAAAAAGTTGGCAAATAAGTTTTTACATGTTTTTAAGGAGTCGATATTGCCATTAAATATGAAAGAGGATATCGGGTAGATGTCCTCCATGACTCATTTGACANGCGTTTTCTTGTCTCTTGGAGATACCCACCTACCTAGATAGCGTTCTTTTGTAAAATATCGATTTTTGTATCAATAAATATATGCATAATGTTTTTAGATTAAATATCTCTTGTCATTCAAAAATCCCCCCTCCCCCTTCCTAACCTACACCTTACGTCATCAAAAAAATAACAACAACAATAATAATAATAATAATAATAATAATAATAATAATGATAATGATAAAGAAGTGCTTTGCGCCACCCCCAAAACCAGTCTCTGGATCCGGGCCTGCTCGACGTTCAAATGATTATTTAGAATGAAAAATCAGCGGAGTGCTATTAAATTAGAGGGTGGAAATTGGAGATAGGGGTCAAAATTCAGTTTTTTAATTGTATCTCCAAAACGAAGCAAAATTTCGGTATAGTTCATAGGAAAAATTATTTAGAGAATTGAATTTCCCATCGAAATAGCTTATTTAAAAAATTTTAAAGGAACATTTTATGCAAAATAATCGTTAATAGACAATTTGAAAAAAAGCAAAAAATTCGATTTTCTGATTTTTTTTTACTTTTTTGCCTCTAGTTTTCTTTTGAGTAAAGATAGGTATAGGCATTGCTTCATAGAAAAAAAAAGTAGATAAAATTTCTAGAGTATTTTTGGATGGAAATTGACTGATATATGGCCGCTCAAACTTAGCCAATTGTTCGATTTTCGTAGCGTTTACCCTTATACGTTTTAATTTTTGCAAAAAAGGAAGGAAATAAGACATTCAAGGATTTTCATCACATGACTTGTTCGAATGGTCATTAAAAATAAAAAAAACGCGGGGTGCAATTAAATTAGAGGGTTGAAATTGAAGATAGGGGTGAAAAAGCGTTTTTTAAATATAGCACGAAAACGAAGCAAAATTTCGGTATAGTTCATAGGAAAAATTTTGTAGAGAATTGAATTTCTCATCGAAATATAATGGCTTATTTAAAAAATTTAAAAGAAACATTTTATGCAAAAAATAAGATTTTTTGATTTTTTTTACTTTTTTAATAAAATAATTTAGTATAAATAACTTGAGAATTTAAGTACAATAAAGTTTATTAATAATGTATATACAGTGTGTCCACGGATGGAGTTTTGTTTTTGACTGTATCGAAAAATGTCACTCTTTATAATAAGTTCTGCCCCTCGAAAAAATGAGACATACAAACATCTTAGATTAGATGTACAGGGTGCTCATAAATTAAGAAAACACAAAAATACTCGAGAGATATACCATTATTTATTATTTTACACAACATTTTTATGGAACAAATCTGTTTATAAACTCAAATAATGTCTTAATACAAATTTTAAAATCAAAATTTTAATTTTTGAGGTGGGAAGTAGCTATACACAGGTACAGACTAAAAGTCAGAATTGAAATTTTTATTTTAAAATTTGTATTAGTACATTATTTGAGGTTATAGATTTCTTTTATAAAAATGTTGTGTAAAATAATAAATAATAAATAATGAGTATTTTCGTGTTTTTTTTAATTTATGAGCACCCAGTATATCTAATCTAAGATGTTTGTATGACAGTCTCAGTTTTTCGAGGGGCAGAACTTTTTATAAAGATAAAGTGAAAAACAAAAGAATTTCTCCTCTTCTCAACTCCATCCGTGGACACACTGTATATACATTATTAATAAACTTTATTGTACTTAAATTCTCAAGTTTTTACTAAATTATTTGATTAAAAAGTAAAAAAAATCAAAAAATCTTATTTTTTGCCTTTAAAATTGTTTCATAACGTTTTTTTGCATAAAATTTTTCTTTTAAATTTTTTAAATATGCCATTTCGATGGGAAATTCAATTCTTTAAAAAATTTTTCATACGAACTGTACCGAAATTTTGCTTTGTTTTCGTGCTATATTTAAAAAACTGCAAAAGTGCATTTTCACCCCTATCTTCAATTTCAACCCTCTAATTTAATAGCACCCCGCGGTTTTTTAATTTTTAATGACCCTTCGAACAAGTCATGTGATGGAAATCCTTGAACGTCTTTTTTTCCTTTCCTTTTTTGCAAAAAATGAGAATTAAAACCTATAAGAGTAATCGCGACGAAAAGCGAAAAATTGACTAAGTTTGAGCGGTCATATATCAGTCAATTTTTATCCAAAAATACTCTACAGCCTTTTGTTTTGAAGGAAATTTTATATACTTTTTTTTTCTATGAGGCAATGCCTATACCTATCTCTGCTCAGAAAAAAGTTATTTGTATAAAAGTAAATAAATTTGAATTTTTAGCATTTTCTTGTTAAATTGTTTTTAAGATATTTTACAGTAAATAAATTTTAAGTAAGCTATTTCGATAGAAAATCTCATTATCTACAAAATTTTTCCTGTGCAATACCCTCAAATTTTGCTTCGTGTTCGAGATATACTCAAAAAACCGTAAGGGTTGCATTTTCACGCCTATCTCCAATTTCCACCCTCTAATTTAATAGCACTCCACGGTTTTTTTCTTTCTGAATAACCATTTGAACGATTCATGCAATAAAAACCCATCAACGTTGTAGTTCCTTAGTACCCTGCTTTTTAAGACATAATCAATAGCCTACTGCGTTTCCAGCCTCATTTTCAAAAAAGAACTTTAGCTTTACAGTGGTCGTTCTCGAACGACCCGAGGATCTCGCCTCAATTTCGCCAGTTTTGTTTGTTCACATATCCACTAAGATGAAATGCTAAAAATGATTTTCTTAACAAAATCACCATCCGCTTGTCCAGCGCATTAAATGGTTGTCTGGCTTCAATTCCTAGGTTAAGCTGAATCTTGAATGGATACAGATGCAGATCTTTTGTTAAAATTCGCCGCATTGTGGTTTCTGAAATGTTTAATTGCAGTAACCGATGGCACACTGAGGTTACGGGAATTTCCGCCACACTATCATTCATTGTAGCAATATTTTCGGCTGAACGGCCGGTACGAGGCCGACATGTTTTTTTATTGTCTGCAACTGAACCTGTTTGTTCAAATTTAGCAACTAATCTTTTCACGGGCGTTCCTTCTACCAAAAATTCCACGTAATTTGCGCACAGTCTCAGCTACACACCCTTCGAACTTGTAATGAATTTTCACAATCTCCATTTTTTTTTAACTGCGACATGTTTACTACAACATACAACATGCGACCAATGCTGCCAACTCCTCGGAATGAAAATGGCGCACAATTCAAATTATTCTGCGTTACTTTTGGGACATCCGTTAGCTTTGTTCCTAGTACATTAGAATTAGTTTCCAACAGTCAGACGCAATCGCATTTGATTCTATTTCTATCTAAATATTTTTGAAATATATTTCCCTAAGTACCTACTCATTTTGGGAATTTAAATGATTTAATTTTTTTTTGATTAAATAGATCCTCAGGATTTCCCTAATATGCAACAAATTTCCGGAAAAATTATTTGAATGTTTATTTATTACAACTATGTCCAAACGTTTTTGAAATAGATAGATTGAAAAATGAACTTAATATTTTGTACAGACGAATAATTTCGTAATTTAGAAGTTCAAAAACGATAGAAATATTATGCAAGGAATTTGAAATGGTATTTTCAGAAACATCAAAATTGTTTTGCCCAATTTTAACAATTCCTGCAACGAGTGTCTCGGTAGAAAGAAACTTTGTGTCTTAAGCCCATTAAGACTGACACAAGAGCACTTAAACAACCTATCAGTGATGATGATAGAAAAAGAACTATTGCAAAGTCGTAGTGCCGATCCTCAATTTTATGAAGACATTATAAGTAATTTTGCAAATTTAGAAGACGGACGAATAAACCTGTTTTATAAAAACATTGTTTTTAAAATATTTTGTTAAAAGTGGAGGCAAATGAAAAGCTGGGGGCTTTGTTTTATGTGTAAATAGATAAGTTGGCAGGCTACCTTATGAAAATTTGTTTTTATATTTTTTCATATTTTTTAATATTCATAAACCAAGTAGGCACAATTTTGTTAATTATTATAAGGTAGATATATCGCTTTGTTTTATTCTGTTAAATTTATTGTAAATATAATTTTAAAAATTCTGATATTACTATTCATATAATTTCTTAATTTACTAAATTAACTTACTTAATTTATTATTTTTAAACCTCGTCGTCCAGTATCTCAAAAAAGAGAACTTCGTTTATATAAAAAAATTATTAAATTTGGATGACGAAAAAATTTTTTTATTTTTCACGTCATGTAACACCCTGTATAGAAGTATGAAAAATAAACACTGGTTGTATCACATTAAAAAAGGAATTGACCTTTGAAATAAAAAAGAATAAAAACCGAAATATTTGTTTTATAAAACTCACGCATTTTAAAATTCTGAAATAAACAATTTTTAAACTTCATATTAAACACTTTTCAACTCTAAATTAAATTTTTATTAAATCTGAAGGAAACATTTCTAAACCTCAAAATAAACATAACAATCAACAACATAAAACACTTTTCAAGTTAACTCTATTAGTAATTTACTTTCATGCTCAATAATATTTGCAATTAAACTCTTAAAGCTGTTAATGATTCTTCTAGATCATCAGTTTCGCTGTCCAGAACAATAGTCACGTCATCAGAGACGTCGGTCTCGGTATCAACGTTCCTTTGAATCGTTTTCTTAACGACGCTTTTTGTTTTACGTGTAGTGGGTTTTTTCCCCAAGACTGGACGACCACCTCGACGTGGCGCCTTAAGTTTCTTCTTCGGATTTACATTTTCTTTATTTTCCTTAGGAATGTTTGTGACCTTTGGCTTTTCTGAAAATAGTTTTCCAGATATTTACATCGAATAAACAACTGAAACAGCAGGACATTTATTTTGAGTTGATAATGATTCTTACCTGAACTTGTTCCAGATTTTACTTTTTGCAGATGGTTTGCCAGAAATAGTACTGCATCATTTTTTTCTGCTTTTTTCGGTACTTTTTCCTTGAGGAAGTTAAGGCTAGATAAAAAATTAGCAAACTTTAGAACCAGATATAAAAGAAGATAGATAGTAAGAAGTGTGTATATGTTAAATTAAAAAAATATTTATTTTTTGAGATATGGAGTCTAAAAGTAAAAATTATTTGGATAGAGTATATGTAGAATGATTGCTTTTTATTTTTTCATTATCAAATTGGACAAAGAATTTAGATTCTTCATCTGTTCCAATTGGGTTTGTATCAAATTTTGTGAAAAAGTATTAATTGGTAATTATAAAAATAATATATTATTTCTGTTCTTTTCAATACGTAGATAAGCAATCTATTGAATTATAAACTAGATAAAAAATAAAATGTTGACAAACTTAGTCTTTTTAATGTACATTTCCAAATTAAATTTATTTAGAGTAAAAAATAACAAAAGATTTCAGACGATATGAGAAATGAATATACAAAAATTGCAATCACAAACGAAAATTTTTCAAATCCTATCACGTTTTCTATATACAGGGTGATTCAATCATAATGTCGTTAATTTTAACTACATTAGAAGATTAAATAAATACAACAAATCGAAAAAAATTTACATGACCTTTTAAAAAATAAGAAAATTATCCCTTAATTCGTCGCTCTACTTCCGACGTTCGAACGGTGAGTAAAACTAGCTATCGTATGTGTCGAATTTTTCAGTTGATTTTGACTTCAGAATCAAAGTGCACCGGACTCCAACTTTATTAACTGCTATGGACGAACGATTTTTTTTTTCAGCTGTACTACTAGCATTTTAAATAGGTAGGAACTACAGCTCTTTGAAAAGCGATAATTGAATGAGTTTTTAGTATTAATTATGTTCAACTATAAAACAGTGAAAACGTTAACAATATTAAAGTCAGGTTAGTGACTTAACACTCCGGCAGGTCAAGATTCACTTTCGATAATCGTCTCTAGGTCAGCGATCAGGAGCGGGTCGTAAAGGGGTTTAAATAATGATTTGGAAATACTTTTTTTCAGCGAAATTAAAATTTTTTTAATCACATACATATTCTAATTCTACTCATTTTTCCTTTGGCAGTTGACTAGAACTTTTTCCACAAACACGTAAATTATCAGTTTCTCGGTACATTTTAATTATACCTCTAATTGTGCATTTCGCCATATTCACTTTGCCGGCAATTCTTTTCTATTGATAATGTTGAATTATTATTTAACACACCTTTTTGGCCTTAGATGGTCTTACAAATATCTAAAAGACACTAATGTAGCATACGTTTATTCCAAGGTTGTGTGAGATTAACTGTTATTGCTAAAATTGAAAAGTGTGACAATTAAAAAAATCGAAAATGACCATTTTATTTGTTCATTTAGATTGCTTATTTCGCTTAGGAACAACAGAAATCAGTGTTATAATAACACATCCACACAAAAAAAGTTTGTACTTTTCATGCGACATATGTTATCCGTGGTATATTTTCCTCCTGATCACGAATCGGCTGTCAGAATTGAGCTACCACTTCACAGGAATTTCCTTACCTCAAAAAATAGGTCAAAAATAGCAAAAATTCACGAAAAAGTACTAGGAAAAATACGAAAAAATTTTTGTTCTATATTCAAATGTTCATTTATATGGTTTTATTTAAATTCTAACCTAAAAAAAAAGGTCAATTAAGGTCAGATATCACGCACTTTCATAAAATTACAGATTCCGCCAAATTTGATATACGGAGGTTTTCGGGGAATCCAAGATGGCCGACCAAATTTTCAAAAAATTACCTATTTGTGCTAAATTTGGTATACGGGGGTTTTCGGGGTCGTTGATCACGGATCCGAGGTCAATTTTGCAAAATTGAAATTGGCGGATCTAAGGTGGCCGACGAAATTTAAAAAAATTACACATTACACAAATTAAAATTACACATTAGAGAATTGCGAAATTCATTTTGTAATATTTTTGTTTACTTTATAACCTGAGTATCCAATCATGTTTTAACCTTTTTAAAGTACAAAGGTAATTGATCACATTTTTAAAAACGAATTTTGTAAATCTGATCTTGTATGCGTGATCGGCGACCCCGAAAATCCCCGCATACAAAATTTGGCGGGAATGGGTTATTTTTTGAAAATTTGGTCGGCCATTTTGGATCCGCCATCTTGAATTTTGCAAAATTGGCCTCGGATCCGTGATTAGCGATCCCGAAAACCCCCGTATACCAAATTTGGCGTGAATCTGTTATTTTTTGAACATTCGTTATATCTGACCTTAATTGACCCGTTTTTTGAGGTTAGAAAAAGAACCATCAATTCTGATCGCGGATTCACGTTCGGCGGGGTCTTAATCATATAAATGAACATTTGAATATAGAAAAAAAAACATTTTTTGTACTTTTCCTAGCGTTTTTTCGTGAATTTTTGCTATTTTTGACCAGTTTTTTAAAGTTAGGAAATTTCTGTGATGTGATAGCTCAATTCTGACAGCTGATTCGTGATCAGGAGGCAAATGTTATCCGTAGGGATAACATATGTCGCACGAAAAGTACAGACAACTTTTCTTTTGTGTGGTTGTATAATTATCACATTCATGAAATTTGGTCCAAACCTAATTGAGGGGCTGTCGAATCTAGTGACGTACTCGGATTTTAAATAAAAAAGTGCTAACCTTTTTTGTCAAAAACAAATGAACAAAACAAATGAAAATTATAATAAATCAACGAATATCAATAAGTAGGCTTTGTTAACTGAAGGTATACTCTAATATGTTTAAAAAAATCCCCAATTAAAATATGTGTCTTTTTCAAAAGGGTATTTTTTTATAACTATTTCTTTAAAAAAAAATAATGAAATAACTTACACCGCTGTCCTATCATTGTCTTCGGTTAATAGATCTACAAAGTAGTGGACAAAGTAGAAAAATGAGTATTTCGATTTGTCTTTAAGGGAATAATTGATGGCGAAGCAAAGGAGTTGTACATAATGCCTTCGTGGGGATTTGAATTCTTTCAAATTCAAAAACTGTTTTATCAGAAGCTGCAAACATATATTAGATTATACAAAAAGTTAATGGGGAATATTTAAAATTACCTTCAGACTTTTCGCTTCTGGTGTCGTCAGAACTACGACGCCATATTTATTTACGATCATCTCGTATACGATAGTTAAGGAGTACAAAATTGCTATGAAGAATGTAATTTCGTCTGAATTTGCTATATCTGACAGTGAAGATTCAATCATATGACCATATTCTTTATTGTACTAAAAATTGAAAGTCAATAAACTGTTTCCCGTATTTAAAAATGTAGGGTATCCTCAGATAGGTGAGACGTAAGAGACAAAGAGGTTTGTACTGAAATACAGACTTCTGGGGTTCAACTCGCCTTAATAATCCAGGTGAAAAAAAAAACACAAATAATAAATTTAATAACATGAACTGACATTCAAATTCGGTGAGAAAAATCCGAAATCAGGCAAAAAAACTAAACCTAGAAATTTGAAATTTTGCGCACTTAGTTTTTAATTAGTGGAAACTGTTCTTAGCCACTTAAAAATGTCCAAGGCCTATCGGATTTTAATCGAGACTTTTTTAATAGTCGTTTCACCTATCTGGGGACACCCCGTATTTTAGCGGCGTAACTCACGGTATGATAGTATCTGAAAATATTCCCTAAGCATTTAAACGACAAGATATTAATATGAGCCAAAGAAATATATTTTACAATGTAAGATCGTCGTTCCGATAGTGGCACTGAAAAATTACATTGGGGTAGTTAAACCTCACAAAAATTTAGATTTTAATAATTACTAGTTGCGTTAGAGATGACGTATTTCTCCAAAAACGATACCAAAACGTTTTGTAATTGCTCGTCCTTTATTACCATTTTTAAATTTTCCATTTGTTTCACGGTTTTCGTCAGTTCTAGCAACTCACTCATATAAGTGATGTAGATATCGCACAGGCAGTCGTAAGTCTAAAAATAAGTATCATACAAAGGGTTGATATTATAATGGTTTTTCGCATGATATTTACCTTGAAATGTAGTGGTTGACCTTTTAAATTATCGAGCATGTTGAAACATGTACTTGTAAATTCTTTACAGTTTCGTAACAGTTTAGGGGATTGCTTTGTATAGTTATTAGCGGTCAAGTTTTTTAAACTCCATATTAGATACTGCTTGCAGGAAGACATAAGATTGGCTGTTGACTAGAAAAATAAGGGAGGAAGAAATTAAGACAAAAATTTTCAGCTAAAAAATTTTCACGTGAAATTATAATTTGACAGGAAGAAATTGTCCATTAACCCTCATTGTACAATATGCCACCTGTGAAAAAGTTTTAAAATTAGTGAAATCAACCCTTACACCAAAAGAATCAGTTAAAGATGTAATTTCTCTTTGTTGTCTAACATAATTTGTCTTCCTAATGTAACGAGTGTTCAAATAAAAAAACGTGGTCGAAGTTGGCTCTGACACATTGGACGTAGGGAGTAGCTTATAGCGACCAACTTAACCTCATTTCTCAACGAGCTGTATAGATGCTGTCAGTTTCTATAACGTTAATGACTATATAACTTTATTTTAAAGAATAATTGTGATAACAATAACAAACAATTAAAGGAGCTGCAGAAAGTGTCCCCCTCCTTGTTCCAAGCACTTTTCGCACCTGTTCCTTAAAGAATTAAAGACATTTTCCAAGATGCACGGGGTATTGTTAATTTCACGAATCTTGTCTATAAGTCGAGCCTGCAGATGGTTTAAATCAGGAATAGGCAGTTCAAAAATAGTGTTTTTAAGGTAAGGCCACAAAAAGAAATCACACGGCGTAATATCACATGACCTCGGTGGAAATTCACGTTCAGCATTGAGACTTATTAGTCGATTTTGGAAAACTTCCCTCAACATATTCATCGTCTCGCCTGCCGTATGTGCCCTTGCGCCATCTTGTTGAAAGTAAAAGTTTGTAATTTTGTGTTCTTCCAGCGGGTTAACAAAAGGAGCGATAATTTCTTCTCTATACCTTTGCGCAGTAAGAGTACCATTAAAAAAAATAGGTCCATAAATCCTCCTTCGATTGAGAGCACGCCAAACTCCAATTTTTTGAACGTGTGGAGGGCCCTCGACAAAAAAGTTATCTGGTTTTTCAGAAGACCACATTCTCATATTCTGTAAATTTACGTAACCACTTAAATGAAACCAGGCTTCATCAGAAAAAAAGGTGATATTATGAAGTTCACCGTAGTTGTTTAAAAACCATTCACAAAATACAGCCCGTCGCGGAAAATCAACTTCATGATGTTCTTGCTGACAAGTTAAACGATAGGAGAACAAACGCAAATCTTTTTTTAACACTGTGTGGCAGGTACCGACTGATACTCCCACCATTTGTGATAAAACACGTACAGAAGTGCTTGGCGCATTTTCCATTATTTGTTGGACATTTTCTTTTAATTCTTCAGTCCGATTTTTAGGTCGTCCGCTTCCTTCTTTTCTTGTTACACTGCCCGTTTCACGAAAAACATTAACACAACGCTGAACTGCACTTTGAAAAATTTTGTACTCAACAACGCCGGGAAATTGATTTTGAAATTCTATGAAACATTCCTCAATAGAATACTTCCATATTCCATCAATCTTGCGTCCATTTCTAAAGTAGGACTCTATGATAAACACTTTTTGTTCTTGAGAAAACACCATTTTAAACGCTTTTTAAAACGAAAATATTCAAATTGATAGCGGCGATATAGCGCTTTGACAGATGACGTTTAAGTTCATTTGCTATATACTACGCCCTACGTCCAAATTTTCAGAACCAACTTGACCACGTTTTTATTTGAACGCTCGTTATATGTTAATAATTTTAAAAATGTATTTGCTCTATTTTGAGGTCAGCAACATGCCCTTAAGCTCTCTCCCATTATTAATGAATCACCCTGTATATGCATCACCACCATTTGCCAAATTCTTTTATTGTCTAAACCAAACACATTTAAAAATAAATTGTGAAAAGAAAAGAATAGTACTAATGATGAAAATAGTGGTAAAGGTAATGTCGATGACGAGAATAATGCAACATTTTTAGCACAGTACAAGGAGGGTTAACAGGGAATACAAAAAAAATATAAAAGAAAAATAAAACTCGTAATAAAATTGAAATGTATTCAAAATGAATTAAAAATATATTTGCACTTACTGTTTCATCAACTTTGCCCCAATTATCGAATAAAGTTTCCCACTTCAAATTTTTGGACAGATCAAAGTTTTCAAATAAAACTGAAACTTTCAAAATCGTATTAGAGATTCCTTCACTCTGAAATAAAAGAGATATAATTAACAAATAAACTTAGTAAATAAAATAATTATTTTATTAAACAAAAGTTCACCTGCTTATTTAAATTAGCCGTTAGATCATTCGTGTATTTCAGTGAAATATTTTCAACAGCACACTGTACATTATTTGCGAGAGTTACAGTGTTACAGAGATAGTGGAACGTCCCACTAAGTTTTCTTATTAAGTTCTCATCGTCGTGATAGTGGAACAAATCTTCCATTGCTGCACAGATCAATTTGAACTTCTAAAATAAAATCCTGTCACTTGCGTGTGCTCCCTTGCTTTTATAATACTTACTGCAACAGGGACTTTATCCAAAACAGTGTCTTTGATCGTGGTTGGAATTTTAAGAAACTCTAATAATATTTGTGGAAACTCCCTGTACATTTCTAATAACTTGGGAAATACTGAAAGATACGACGCCACTTTGTAGTGTTCGGCTAAATCAGCGATAGTAACTAAAAAAAATTCTCATTACAGCAACAGAAATATAAACAAATTAATAAATTTCAAGTTTAAAAGAAATATAATGGGTGTTCGCGAACAATTGTGTGTTCGTAGATAATTCACCATCCATCTGCTGCTATAAAATTCCATATAACCCAACACAGAACTCAGCAAAGTTAATTTTTTTAAATAAAAATCTTTCAAGATCTCAAATGTAATGGAAAAGTTATTTGAAATAATTTATAATGTATGAATTAAAAAAACTTCTTGGAAGTTTTGCTAACTAGAATCAAGCAATGGCGCGAGGAAAGAATGCGTGATACATTACTGTACAGGCTTGAAGCAACGGCACTGACGATACCGGAGATGAACGTGTGACCACACCCACTATTCTCTGCGCAGGCGTGGTCACACACAGCCACGCCTTCTACCCTACTCCGCACGGCTAAAGGCGGTACTAACGTTAGCGGCAATGCTATTAAGACCTCCCACCCATCTGGACTGCGCCGACCTAGATGCGCGCGCAGCGACACCAATGTTATAAGACTGGCGATGCGGTTTCAAAAGGTCTCAGTTACGGGGAAAGTCGTCATTGAAGACGTCAACAGTGAAGAATGGAGAAATGTTTGGAAATATTGGATGCGATCAGTAGCAGAGGTCACGCCAGGATATCTCAGAGGACTACCATTGTCTGAGAAGTGATTAGATTCCGTCCATAGCGGTCTTAGAACCAACAACAAAAACTGAAATCACCATTAGGGTAGACCTAGGGTTTCTGATAGTGAGTCCGATCCTACAGAGCCTAGCCCGAGAATAAGGGCGGGTCAAAAATTCCTATACTACATAGCTACACAAAAAAAAAGTTGTCTGCACAACTTTTCATGTGACATATGTTATACATAGTATTTTTGCCTCCTGATCACGAATCCGGTGTCAGAATTGAGCTATCAGGTCACATGAAGTTCCTAACCTCAAAAGACAGGTCAAAAATAGCAAAAATTCACGAGTGCTAGGAAACCTAGAAAAAAAATTGTCTACATTCAAATATTCATTTATATGGTTAAGACCTCGCCGAACGTGAATGCGCGGTCAGGATTGATGGTTCTTTTTCTAACCTCAAAAAAACGGGTCAAATTTGTTAGTCGGGGGTTTTTGGGGTCGTTGATCACGGATCCGAAGTCAAATTTTCAAAATTCAAGACGGCGGATTCAAGATGGCCGACCAAATTTTCAAAAAATAACACATTCGCGCCAAATTTGGTATACGGGGGTTTTCGGGGTCGCCAATTCGAGGTCAGAATTGCGAAATTTATTTTGTAATATTTTTGTTTACTTTATAACCTGAGTACCCAATCATGTTTTAACCTTCTTGTTTTCGGCTATATCTTGTTCTTTTTTCTGGAAAAGATCTATTCACGGGTTTTCTGCCTAATGTCAGGTAATAAAGTACATAGGTAATGACGATTTTTAAAAACGAATTTTGTACATCTGACCTCGGATTCGTGATCAGTGTATCCGAAAACCTCCGTATACCAAATTTGGCGCGAACGTGTTATTTTTTGAATATTTGGTTCGCCGCCATCTTGAATTTTGCAAAATTGACCTCCAATTCGTGATCAGTGACCCCGAAAACCTCCGTATACCAAATTTGGCGCGAATCTTATTTTTTGAAAATTTGGTCGGTTATCTTGGATCCGCCATATTGAATTTTGCAAAATTGACCTCGGATCCGTCATCAGCGACCCCGAAAACCTCCGTATACCAAATTTGGCGCGAATCTTATTTTTTGAAAATTTGGTCGGTTATCTTGGATCCGCCATATTGAATTTTGCAAAATTGACCTCGGATCCGTCATCAGCGACCCCGAAAACCTCCGTATACCAAATTTGGCGCGAATCTTATTTTTTGAAAATTCGGTCGGTTATCTTGGATCCGCCATATTGAATTTTGCAAAATTGACCTCGGATCCGTCATCAGCGACCCCGAAAACCTCCGTATACCAAATTTGGCATATATCTGTTATTTTTTAAAAATTCTTGATATCTGACCTTAATTGACCTGTTTTTTTGAGGTTAGAAAAAGAACCATCAATTCTGACCGCGGATTCATATTCGGCGGGGTCTTAACCATAACATATGTCGCAAGAAAAGTACAGACAACTTTTTTTTTGTGTGGCTGTGTTATTTTTGATTATTTCAAATGCTACTTTGAAGTGTTTTTATTTTTTAATTTCTATGGCACATTAAGAGGAAATCTTCAACATAATATATCTTTTTACACACCGGGTGAATCACATAAAACTCCTTGGCCCGATAACTTGATAATAGA